TTACATAATTGGTTTAGGATAATTTTCTTAAGTCATAATAGCTTTAGTCAAAAGAAAAGAAAAGCTAAACTTAGCCTAATCATGATAAGATAATAAGTCCAAAATCAACTAATTTCTATGGTTCCACTCTTGTGAAAAGAGAAGTTCTTTTCACTCATTTTATTTAGCATTTTATTTACTTGCACATTAGGTAATTAGTTTAGATAATTATGTAACTAAATTCCTATAACTTTGGGTGATTTATTCCACTAGATGACTTTTAATTAGATTAAGACCATTCCTTGGGAGATAACTTAGGGTTGATCCTATATTACATTTGTGTTAACTTGAGTTTAATTTTGAGGATGAGCGACTAAATCCTATCAATTTTCAATAATACTTTGCATTAATATTGATTTGGGATGATCTAACCAATCATACCAAATAAATTGGCATACTTCTAGTATACTATACCAAGTCAATATTAAACTTCTAATTTACTATGATAATTTTATTTATCATTGTAGACTTTTGGCTGCAATTTCAATTTTAATATGACATTCAATAATCAATATAACAAAATATTTTCTAATGAGAGATTACTTAATCTTCACCCTTAAATATTATTTAAAGAGATTTTTTTCATTGTATAGCTTTAATTCAATAATAAAAATGCTACAAATTTTTGAAAGTTCTTCCAAAACTAAATCATAAATGATCTTAAAACTCTTGCTATTTCTTACTAGCTTCTACAGTCATTCGTTGTAATGATGATAGTCAAATTTAAATATCAAAACATAATTGTTATATTGTTTATTCTAAGTGAATTAAAATTTATTGTATGTCATAAACATTATAAGAAAAAATCAATAAGTCAACTATATGAACGTATAAAGAAGTCAAGGAACATGAAAATATGTTCAATTGCTCACCTCCTTTTGGAGAATTCTTTTGAGAGAAGATAATTCATGTCTAATTTTTTTCAAGATTAATCTTCAAACACTCTTAGATGACCTGTAGAATTTTTATTAAAATAAATTTTCTCAATACAATAATTAGAATTGTCAACATATAAATATTTTCATATATTTATCATTATAATGGCTTTCAATAGCCATTCATGTATAGACATTTTCCCAAGACCTCGGGTCCTTTATAATGACTACAATTGGCATTCTTTAAATTCAATAGATAATAGACATTTTTGTCTATATAGCTGCAGGCTATATTATATCAGGAGAAAATCACATTCAACTCTCTCCCAAAAAAATTTATCACAAACAAAGATTAGTAACAAGTCTCATTCGAGAAAAAATAAATTATATTCTGCATTTTAACAATAACTCGTTTTATATTGTTCCTTATTTGTGATTAATTTTTCTAAGAGGGGGCTGACTATAATTCTCTCTTATATCAATTGTTTGTAAGCATATTAAATTTAAAAGCTGCTATTAATTTTCTGTGACATAAATTTCATTAACTATAATCTCTAGGATTATAAAAAAATAATTTTTTAAATTTGACAATTCTTTATGAATCATTAGCTTTCAGGGCTATAATAGTTAAAATAATTAATTAATAATCAAGATGGTCATGGAAATTCTACAAAATTTATAGTAACCATTTGGGCCATAAAATTATCATTTACATAGTAGTCATGATTAAAACTAATATGATTTCTAGCCATATATAGTAACAAAATCAAATATAATTTTTGGCCATAAAATAACAAAATTAACTATGGTTTCTAGCTAAAGTTATAAAATCAAATACAGCTTCTGATCGTATATTAATGAAATCTAATATAACTTCTAGCCATATAACCACAAAATCAAACGTGGCTTTTGGTTATATAATTATAAAGTTAAATTTGGTTGTGGGTAATAAAATCACATAACCCATTATGACCATATAATCATCATTTATAAAATAATAAAAATTTAAAGTAATGTAGCTTCAGCCCATCTGATCATGTATTCAAAATAATATGATTAGTAATCATCTTATTGTAAAAATATTGAAAAGAATCAAATGAAAGAAAATAAAAGCAATATATGGATGAAATACACACATATATAAACTAGAAGCAACGGATTATATTGTAGATATAATGATGATAAGAATAGCAACGAAGCGATGCTATAGAACATATAATATGCTAATTGAGCTCGTGGCAGGTTGTTGAGAGTATTATATATACTTTTATCTAACTAGTCATGAGTTCGACGTGGCATTGAAAAAAATCATCGAACCAACAGAATGTATATACAAAATAATTTGAATAAAATAATAAATGATTTTAAATGTAGGTAATACTTCATATAAAAAAAAGCAATTTGAGATATGATAATATGATTCTCTATTATAAAATAATTCCAATAAAATAATAAATTATTTTAAATGTAAGTAACTTCAAGACCTACTTTATATTTCATATGTATAATAATAGGTATTTTGAATGTAAATAATTTCAGGATTTATTTTGTGTTTTATGTGGTAATCTCTTCATGATCTATCTTTGAATAACTTCATGATCTATTTTATATTATATGTGAATAACTTTGGATCTCCTTTATTTTTTCATGTGAATAACTACAAAAGGCACCTTATATTGCAAATAACTTCAAGATTAATTTTATATTATATATGTGTGGATAATTTCAAGATTTACTTTATATTATATGTAAATTTTCAAGATGCACTCTGTTATGCGTAGATAATTTCATGATTCACTCTATATTATAGCTCCAAAATCCACTTTTCTAAAATTAAGATGTGTCCCATACTTCTGAATGTAGCACAGAATACATAATTATTTGATTGATTTAGGGAGAAAAAAAATAATTGAGAAAATAAATTCAATAAATAAATAACATAAAAAATAACAAGAGTGCATGAATGAGAGAAATTTACTTAATATTTAACTAATTGTGTATCCATTTCTATTATAGATATTCATTGGTATGAATATTAATCTCTAATTTAGAAATTATAAGGGCACTCACCTAGTAATGCTAAGAGTAGAGTAGTTATGCTGACAATGTATTATGAAAATAAAGATTGAAATAAGAAGATAATAGAAAAATTTAGAAGGAGAGAACAACATATTGAGAGAATTGAGAGCTTTTTTATTTTAGTAGGTTAAATATAATTGAAGTGCATTTTATTTATAGGTACAAATATATCAATTAAATTAAGTAAAATATACATGATAATAACAAATGAAAGATATTATGATAATCAAAAAATATTAAAAAATCTAAAAGATATAATGAGATAAAGGATATTCACATAATATCTGAATATTCATAATAAAAAAATTAATTGCTATTATGTTGCATGTGGATGTATGTCAATTTAAATTTGGATTAAATCCACCATTTGGATCTATGATACATAGATAGCAATATGTGTATCGGATAAAATGTGTATCCAATACGTTGATAATATTATTTTTAAGAATATAGGACACAATGCATTCTCCATACATACATATATATTTATAAAAAAAATCAAACATACATTAAAAATATAATTTCAATTTTAAAAAAACAAAACTAGTATAGATATATAGTGCTTTATAGTAATACCAAACAAAATACAATCATTAATTATACTTTTATGTTATCTATACATAATTATCTATCACCTATTCCCTATTAATAAGTATAATATCAATATCTTTCCTTGCTTGACCAATATAAGATTAAATTCTCACATATTTATAATTAAGAAAAATATAATTTTTATTCTTTTATTACATCTAAAACTTTCGATCTTTGACTTCAAAAGGAAATTTAAAAAGATATTAGTGATAAGATGTAATTTAGCTTAAAATTAAAATTTATGTAATTTCAAATATATAATTTCTTAAAAATTTTCTTAAAATTTAGCTTTGAAGTATTGACTTGTAATTTAGAAGTATTTAATATGTATTAAAAATTAAAATTTTTTAAATTAAAAAAATAATATTATGATACTTTATGGATTTGTGTCAAAAAAGTATTCGATAACGGTAAGTATTGGTATCAAATATGATATTGATATAGATATGTGAGACACTTTGAGATATTAGCGCTTCATAAATTTGGATCCATAAAAATTTTATAGATTTAGATTTGATTCAAACCTAAATCCATATTTTATTACGATTACTTTGTAATTTTAAATTTCTTATACAGCTTGGTTATTTAAAATATTAGTTGCTTTAACCCATTTTATCTCTTTCCATTTACATTTTTCATCTCTCTTTTTTATTATCTTTTCATTTAAATTTTTTATGCTATCCAAATAAATTATTTTAAATAAATTAATTTTAAATGTAAAATTTTAAACCTAAAATTTAAATTCAAATATTCAAACACTGCCTAAATTTTTTGGAGCACTTTTGCAAAAGCACACAGGATTGGCTATAAATTTTTGAATTTGACTTAAAAATAAGGGAGAAGAACAAGTAAATCACCATAGGATTTAAAATAAAATTTCACAAATCCTCCTCTAGTATTTGTGTCACGTCAAATTGAGAAATTTATAACTTATTATATTTGTTTTTCAAAAAATGAAAAATATTTTACTCACAAATCAAATTTGGGAACCTAATAGTAATTAATTTTATTACCTGATACTTCTATATAATTTTCTCAATAAATACATACACACATATATGTCAAAATGCAAAATATAAATGCATTTGAAAATAAATGGGCAAAAATATCTTTTAAGTAAGGGGTGTGCGATATTGAATTAAAATCGAAAATCAAATCAAACTAAATTGAATTTGATCTATTCAATTTAATTTATTCAGTTAAATGGTGAGTTTAGTTTAGCTTGGTTTTTTTTTTTTTAATTCAGTTTGTTTGGTTCGGTTTGGTCCGGAGGAAAAGAAACGGATAGAGTAATTAACCAAAATAAAATAATAATTTTATGTAATAATTATTTTAATTTTTAAAATTAAAAAGTAAAGGAGAGATAATAGAATAAAGAAACTTAGCCCGACCCATTTGGTACTGTCATTGGCTTACATTACACTCCCAACCCTACTCTCATTTAGTATTCTCACTGATAACCAGTCCGACGGGGCAGCGCCGAATACAATACACCGAACAGTCGTGTTCCGGCTTCGGATCCAATCTATTTGCGGCTAGGGAAGTGTTTTTCTTCATCAGCTACTTTCTGAAGTCCTCTTCCACGCGACCACAGGTACGTAGTAAATCTGCATAAGAATTTAGCTTTCCTGTTCTTTTATTTTTAATCAAATGCAATATGAGTGAGTTATCTGTGATCCTTTCTGCTGGGGAATCGGTTAATAAATCTGCATATGTTGGACGATGATCTAGTTTAATACCCGTGGCCTTGAGTTGGTTTCCCTTTTCACTGGTCGTTTTTAAGGAGTTTTCCCTACTTTTCATTTTCAGGTTAGAAAGTTTTTCCTTTGTCTCTCTATCTTGGAGCAATCTACTTTCGAGTCTAGATTCCCATTCTTTAAATTGATTAATGTGCTCGGAGCTGTAAAAGATAGATAATTTGTCGCTTCTTCGAACTATTGCAGGTGAGCATGTGATATTTTCGGGTAATCAACATTTTCCTTTTACCATGAGATAACGAGTATGCAAAATCTAACTATGTAGTTGTTTTGCATTTATCCTTTGAGTCTGTTGACATATATGGGACTAGGCTATCTTGCTTGAGTTGTTAGTTCCAAATGATTAGCAGTCCAAACGTTCTTTTATGTTCTTCAATGCCTTTATTTCATCATTCGCATTAATTCGCTGTCAATTCAATGTTATAAACTTTTTTTCTTCATTTATTATGATTTCACAGAAAGATTGCTAGGACAATTGTTTTGCTTAAATTAATGAAACTTGCTTGCAACTTATGAACTTGTCAAACAATAAATGGTATTTTTACTGGGGGTCAATTGCATCTGACATATTGGTGTTAGCTGCCGTTTCGGGATAATTTAACCAATCATCTTGTCATGATTATATTCTTCTCTTATATTCTTGCCCTATCTTCTTGAAGGTCAGTTTCATGGATGATGGACATGGAAAATAAAAGATAATCTCTGATCACTTTCGAGCTCCAACATCAAGCAAAGAATCTCTTGAAAACAGAACACCATCAATTTCAGAACCTGGAACTGATAAATCTTTGAGGTATTGTTTTCTGGTGGGAAAAGAAAAATATGGATATAAACTTTGTAGTTTTGCTTAAAATTAGTTAATCTATTTTAATTTAGGTCTTATCATCACCATCTGTGGACTCGTGGTAAATTAAGATCTGCTTTCATGTTGAAATTGTTTACAACAACAACAACAACAAGCCTTTATCCCACTAGGTGGGGTCGGCTACATGGATTGCAAGACGCCATTGTGCTCTATCATTTATTAAGCTTTTAGAAATATTATTAATTAAGAGATCACGTTCAACAACTTCCAAGAGTGTTCTCTTAGGCCTTCCTCTACCTCTCTTAATCGGACTCAAAGTTATATGTTCCACTCTTCTCACTGGTGCCTCCCTTGGTCTTCTTTGTACATGCCCAAACCATCTCAACCGATTTTCTACCATTTTTACCTCAATAGGTGCCACCCTCACTTTTTCACGTATGTGCTCATTTTGAATTTTATCTTTACGTGTATATCCGCACATCCATCGTAACATTCTCATCTCTGCTACTCCAACTTTATGCTCTTGCTGTCCCGTTAGAGCCCAGCATTCACTACTATATAACATTGCCGGTCTGATAGCAGTACGATAAAACTTTCCTTTAAGTTTATTAGGCACCTTACGGTCACAAATAACTCCTTTAGCTTTTCTCCAATTAAACCACCCAGCTTGAATTCTATGTGAAATATCTCCACTGATTTCGCCATCATTTTGAATAATGGCTCCCAAATATCTAAACTTTTCCACTTGAGGTATGATTTGATCTCCCAATTTCACTTCCAAATTATTTTCGAATAGTCCTTTACCAAATTTACAATATAAATATTCCGTCTTACTTCTACTCAGACGAAAACCTTTCGACTCCAATGTCCTCCTCCATAACTCAAGTTTGCAATTAACCTCTTCTCTTGTCTCTGCTATAAGAACTATATCATCCGCGAAGAGCATACATTTCGGGATTTCCTCTTGAATATGTTCCGTCAAAACATTTAAAATCAAGTTGAACAAATAAGGACTCAGAGATGATCCCTGATGTAGTCCAATCTTTATAGGAAAATCCTTTGTTTGACCACTAGGCGTTCTTATACTAGTTTTTACCCCCTCATACATATCTTGTATGGCTTTAATATAAGCAATCCGTACTCCCTTTTTTTCCAACGCTTTCCAAAGCACTTCTCTTGGTATACGGTCATAAGCTTTTTCCAAATCAATAAAAACCATGTGTAGATCTTTATCTTTACAACGATACTTTTCCATTAATCCCCTTAGTAGATAAATTGCCTCTGTAGTTGATCTACCTGGCATAAAACCAAATTGATTCTCAGAAATACTTGTCTCCAATCTCAACCTGTGCTCAATTACTTTCTCCCACAATTTCATTGTGTGGCTCATGAGTTTAATCCCTCTATAGTTAGTACAATTCTGAATATCTCCTTTATTTTTATAAATAGGAATTAATGTACTTCTCCTCCACTCATCAGGCATTTTCTTGGACCGTAAAATCACATTAAATAACTTAGTTAACCATCTCACCCCTTCTTCACCTAAACATTTCCACGCTTCGATAGATATACAATCAGGTCCGTTAGCTCTACCATTTGCCATTTTCTTAAGAGCTTCCTTTACCTCCTTATCACGTATTTTTCGATAGAATGACAAATTTTGTTCTCCTTCACCAGTTACTAAATCCTCCAAGTTACTAGATGAATCCTCTCCATCATTGAAAAGTTTAGAAAAATAAGTCTCCCATCTATTTTTAATTTCATCATCTGTAACTAAAATTCTTCCCTCTTCATCCTTAATACACCTTACCTGTTCTAGATCTCTTGATTTTCTTTCCCTACTCTTGGCAATCTTATAAATATTTTGCTCTCCTTCCTTCGTCTCAAGGTTCTTATAAAATTCTTCAAAAGCTTTGGAACGAGCTTCACCCACAGCTCTCTTAGTTTCCTTCTTAGCCATACGGTACCTCTCCCAATTTTCCTCATTGTTACACAAATGTATGGCTTTAAAACAGTTCTTCTTATACTTGATTTTGTCCTGTACACTATTATTCCACCACCAAGACTCCTTATCTCTCGGACCAGAACCTTTCGATTCTCCCAAAACTACTTTTGCAACCTCCCGTATCTTTTTAGCCATATCCTCCCATATGATGTTAGCACTTCCCTGAGAATCCCAAATTCCTTTATCCAAAAGATTTCGCTTGAAAATATCTTGCTTCTCACCTTTTAATTGCCACCACCTAATCTTTGGTGTTACTACTTGTCGATGTTTTTGGATTTTACTCATAATACACACATCAAGGACTAGGACCCTATGTTGTGTCGTTACAGCATCTCCAGGGATCACCTTACAATTTTTACAAAGTTTTCTATCTGTGTTCCTAACCAAAAGAAAATCAATCTGCGACCTTGAGGCTCCACTTTTGTAAGTGATGAGATGCTCATCTCTCTTCTTGAAACAAGTGTTGGCAATCTTAAAATCATACGCCAATGAGAAATCAAGAAGAGTTTGCCCTTCATTGTTTAGCTCTCCAAAACCAAAACCACCATGCACCCTCGCATACTGACCAGCTTCCCTCCCGACATGCCCATTAAAGTCTCCTCCAATAAAAATCTTTTCACTCTGTGGTATGTGTCGAATCAACCCCTCCAGATCCTCCCAAAATAATTCCTTAAGACTGGCTTCTGTCCCGACTTGCGGCGCATAAGCGCTAACAATATTAACAGTCTCACGTCCAATTATCATTTTTAAAGAAATAATTCTGTCTCCAATTCTGCTAACTTCTACAACGTTCTTCTTCCACTCCTTATCTATAATGATGCCTACTCCATTGCGTGCACTTACTTTTCCTGTATACCAAAGTTTGAAACCTTGAATATCCTTAGCTCCTTCTCCACGCCATTTTGTTTCTTGCAAGCAAAGGATATTGATTTTCCTTTGAATCATAACCCCTACAACCTCTACAGATTTACAATTTAATGTCCCAACATTCCAAGTACCAAATCTAATTTTGCTCTTATGGACTAACTTCTTTAGCCGCGTGCGTCCAGAATGACGCGGTAGCCCTTGCTCATTTAACACTACATCCGGGCGCCGATGCAGCGGCTCTAACTCACTTATCACTGTACTCGAGCCATGCAGCGCGTTACTTACGGGCAACGACCTAGCATTAACATTATAACGTCTATTGTCCATGTTCATGATAGATTCAACAAATTTTTACATTGGCTGTTGATGGCCTAACACAACCCTCCTCCTTTACCCGGGCTTGGGACCGGCTATAAACATAGGCGGAGTTCATGTTGAAATTGTTTAGTCTTCAAAATTTCTTTTTGGTTCACGATGATTCTTGTGTAGTTTGATCCACAATTATAAAGTAATTACACTCCCTCTCACAATTCCGTCCATTATAAATGGGACCAACAATTGCTTTAAGAGGTGTCGCATAAGTGCTAGAGTAGCATTCATTGTTGTAACAAAATTTGGTAAATGGAAGGGATTTCCCAACTACTTCTCAATCGCAGGGTACATGTCCTGAACACATCTCTCAAACATTGGGATAGATAATTCGTCTGGTTCGTCTATTTATATAGGAGAACAAGTGGTGTTTACCCTCACCTTTGTTCCCATGGTTTCCAGCAATGACCCTCGAAGGTTCAAAGTGAACCTCAAGTCTTGACCTGACACAGTCTTGCTCAATACTCTAAGTAGTCTCCTTACCTCTTTCTCCTACAAGTATACTAATTCCTTAAGTTAACGGATGAACTTTTCATCAGAAAATGACTAATATCCCGAGTCAGTCTAAACTCATCCAAGCATTATAGTGGCCTAAAGCTATTTTAGATAGTCCTATGATGAAATCCATGGTAATTCTATCCCACTTCCCACTCTATGTTAACCAATAATGGCGACATTTTCCTAACGATATTATGACTTCGATTTAATAATACATATGACTTACAATTTAAACATGTAAGGGTCTAACCAAGCCTACATAACAATTCAAACCCTAGTTGCCTTACTCAAATGGCCTAATTAATCTTGCCCAAATTTCGGATGTTTGTGTCCAGACTAATGCATATAATCAATGACATTTACATCAATAATATATTTGCTTAAATAAGCCTTCAATATTAAAAATCCCTAATTTTTGGCTAAACTCCCACTCGAATTAAATTCCTAATTGATTGTGTAACTAATGCACATAATTAATGACATTTACCATCAATGATGTTGATGGATAACTTTCGAAGGAGGGCTTTATTGTTGAGGAAAGATCAAAGGATGTCATAAACGAGCTTGTTAAACATGTAGATAAGTTTACCAATGAAATGGTGACCTTGAGAAGATGAGTCGAGAGATGGAAAATCTTTGTTGGAGAGGTTGATATAATATTGGATGAATTAAGAAGGGTTTAGAACACACACGTTGAGGCTGGATATGGGAAGAAGAAGAAGAAGGCTATGGCAACTCAGATTGTGTCTAGGTTTTTTTTTTGCTTTTGTTTTCTTCCTAAACTTGTGAATAACTCAATGGGAGGTGGTTGTATCAAAGAACCCCAAGGTTAGACTTAATATGATATTAGTTTGTGTTCGAATGTTATGATTGAAAAGTTTGGAGTTTTTTTTTTTCCTTTTTCTAATGTGAACCTTTTCATGTTAAGGAGATTTTTGAGCTTTGGTTTATATCAATTAATCCCTAGAATAATGGAGAATAATAGAGTTAAAAGTAATTTGAGAATATGATAACAATTTGCATGGCCATAATTGTTCGATAGCAATAATGTTCAAATATCCAAAAAATATGCTCAAAGTTGAGCGATAAATATATGAGACCACAAATTGCCATAAATATATCCATCCATAACATTGTCGAAGCTTTTTCAAAAGGCTTTTCCAAGATACTAAGAACACAAGTTGCACTCAAAAGTTCTTGTAACATACACAAAATATTGTCTAACAAACACTATCATAATAAGGGTCTAAATATTTGAATGTCTAGTCCTCATCCTCACAAGGCCAATCCTTCTCTCCCTTTCAACAACTATAGTTGAGGTTATGCAGCCTTATTCCCCCTCCACATGAGATCTTTGAAGATAATAACCAAATGAAGTAATGATCATCATGCCTTCTGCATATTTGACATCAAAGTAATTTTAGACCTCATCACTAAGAACCAGTAACCTCTAAAACCATTGAATGAACCACATCCCATTTACTATATTCTCCTTCTCAACCAAACGAAAGGCAATTGGAAAGTGAATCATCAGCATCTACTCCAGTTGCAGTGAGTAGGATCCCTCTTGAGTGGCCTTTTTAAAAACATGTCATTTAAGCCAATGAAGGGTCAGCACCTTGATTTCCAACCAACCTGCACAAAGGAGAGGATAAGTAACTTGGTAATCCAAGCAAGTACATCGCATTAACTATGAGCATTAGAGTGAGTATTTACCTTCGAAGTATCAAAGTGCAAGTACATCATGCCAAATACCCTTCTTCCTTGCTCAGGAGTATATCTGCTAAGCTCAACAATGACATCAAATCTAGGATTAGACTCCCTTTACTTAATTTAGTAAGCTTTAAGACTTCCAAACACATCCTTATAACTACCTTCAATCTGCTCCATTATCATCTTCTTCGCCCTCGTACACTTAGCTAGGTTTACATTGATCGTTAAATCACCTACTACATCCTTCTATATATTAGTAGTCTTGTATTGTGGCATCTCTTGCTCTTTCCTCTTAAAATAGCTTGCTAACCACTTTGTTGTGGCCTTGGGATTTTTGTAAACCCTAAGGCATCGATGCTCATTACCCTAGGTTAGAACCATCTTTTGAGGTGTAAAGCACACATGGCACTCTTCCTCATTTTGGCTTTCACCCTCAATATCAAAAAATACTTAACAATACCAATTGCATTGTGTGAAAATTTTGAGAATGAATTTATACATTAACATCTTGTTATTTTATTTTTGTTCTTTTAAAATGGTTTCTCATTGTTCTCCTCCTTTTTATATCAATGGAATTTAGTTATGATTATTTTAGTTATTCCTCCTCCTTATTTCTTTTTTTTTTTTTGGGAAAGGAATAAAAAGAGATATCTAAAAAGGGGTTAGCGCTTAGCCTCACCTTGGTCTTGCCTTGCTTGTTCGGATGACGAGCTAAAATGGGCTTATGACATGCTGTGGGCAACTAAATGTAGCCCATGCTTATATGAAATTTTAAGATAGATCTACAAGCAGGATCTCAGGCTGGCCCGTTGGGCCGTCCCAACTTGAGCTAAAATTGGCAAGTTTGAGTCAAAGTAACTCCGTTATGTCACCTCAACTCAAATAATGTAGTCTAGGATATTGGGTGCAATACAAAAAAATAACGCCCAGCACTCAACAAAAATCCATTGAAGTATTGCAAATGCAACATTTTCCTTTGATTAGTGGAATACACGCCCAATACCACTGATCCCCATGATATGACTGGAAAATGTCCAGATAGTCCTTGCCATAGATATAAACCCTAACTCATTTCTCTACATAGTCCGTGATCTCTCTCTGCCCCCCTACAATTGGCCAACATAATTCTGCAGCTTCAATGTTTCTTGGTTGAACAATCCAGTGGAACATTGAGTTTCATAATTCCTAACGAGCCTGTCTCAAAATTAGGTTTGATACTTTTTTTTTGGGGTTTGTTTTATAAATTTCCATGTTTTTTTGGAACTTTGTCGTAGATTTTGGGGAACTGTTTTCTTCTCTAGGGTATACATGTAAATCCAATGTGAAGTAAATTTATGCCTATGATATTTCATTGATCACGCCATTTCTTTTATATGGTTGGAACAAGGTAGAGAACATTGAAATCAGAAGGAGAGTTTTTCTAGCTGCACTTATTTTATAAAAATGGCCGACGCGTTTGATGATGAAGCTGAGCAGGCTGTTACAATCCACGAATATCTTAAGGAAGTTGAGGACAGGGAGCTGGTGAGTCTTTTTTCCATCACATTTTTACTTTAATTTTCTGCCTGTACAAGCCAGTGTGAATTTCTATTACTGGCGTTGGCTATCATCCATTTAATTGTTCACAGCTTTATTTGATCGACAAAATTGTTACTATACTATGTTTTAAAAAGGATGGCTCCATGACATATGGTTTAGTTAATACCCTTCAATTGGTTGTGGGTAATACATGAGACAGAATAATGTGAATCGCAGTTAAAGTTAAACGTAATAGCTCTGCATATTTCAAAAAGATTGCTAGGCTTCAAAATGCTTGCAAGATAATGCTAGACTAGAGTGCTGCTTCTTTCCATGAATTCTTACCTTCAATATGAATTTAAAAATGAAAAATCAGAATGATTAACATAAGGAGCAGACTGAGATTTATTCAAGGTAGTCAAATTCAAGGGGTGGCTTAATTTACATGATGATGCCTTTGGGCAAGAGGCGCTGGAAAAGTGTTTGTCCAGGTGAAGCAAAGCATTAAATTAGACGAGAAAAAAGGTTATATATAAGATATACAAGTAGAAAATTAATATGAACCATGGTAACTCTCAGCATATAAATTAACTCTTTGCATAGTAATCATATAAAACAATAAACTATTCAAACCATTAAGTCAGAAAATTCTTATCTTGTTTAAATTTGATTTATCTGCCTAAATAATAATCTCTTAAGGTGAAAGACCACTTTGCCCAATTAGGCTGGATTTTTAATTTTTTTCCCTATGCTTAATATACTTCAATTGATAGCTATGGCTTATTGTGCGGGGTTTTGGAAATGCATAACTATGAAATTAAACTTGAGTGTGTGCAAGGTAATTATGCGAGTGCCTTGCATTCATTAGAGAGGTACCAAAGGCACTGCAAGTGAGCTCCGCTATTGAGGCCCCTTGACTCAACCAGCAAGAGGTGTTGATGCCTTGCACCAGTGCCTTAGGCACTAAGGTGATTTATGATGTTGTTTATTTGTACATCCTGACAATGGCTAGACTAAGAAGTGGAAGGTGGTATGGATCCATCATTGATTCTCTATAGGCATTCCGGTTGTTTTGCAGTTTTTGACTAAGCTGCGGTTAGTATTATTGGTCCCAGAGGGGGCTTTTGTGAAAGCTAAAATGACTATAATATCATATAAACATAATGGATATTGGAACAATGCTATATCAAAAAATTGTTTATATGAAAGCCAAATGAATTAAAGTGGCTCTTACCAACACAAAATATTGTTTGGAAAACTAAATGAGTCAGGTTGATATCTTCAATGGCACAAGGAAGGATAGTATTGCTTTGAATTGGACCAATTGATGAAAGTATACATTGCTATGGACTTTTTTCAACTTAGACCATTAAGGTTATAGTATTTCTTTGTTAACTGACTAGGGTAACTATTTCGGAAATTTGCTTATTACTAATTTGATAGCATCAATTGAAGAATCTAGGCCAGCTACTTGTGAAATGATCAGGCAATTAGACTACTCAAGTTACTTGAAATAGTTTGATCTTTGACAACCTTAAAGGCCTTTGAGTTGGTATGATGACTTACTATATAGCAGCCCATTTGGTATCCCAAAATTTTTTTTAATGGAAGCGGAAGTGAGATGGAAATAGGGTGCAAATGGAATTTAAAGTTTGTTTCATTTGTATTTGGAACTTTTATATGAAAACACCCAAGTGGCCCCCTAGAAAACCCATTTCTCCCACCAAAAACATCAGAAACAACCATCGCCCACAACCATGCAAGCCATTGGGGAGAACAAGTTCCACCATTGAAGCCAAAATGGAAATAAAAATTAAACAGGTAAAATCTCTTTGCTTTGCTTGAATCTCTGTCTGTGGTCAAAATTGCATCTTCTTGTGGGGCACCTGGCTGTCAAACTCGAAGTTGAACTCAAAACCACATGCAGGAAAATCACCTAAAAATCAAAGGGTTTTGAAGATGATTGAAGACATTGAAGGGAAATCACCTAGAACTTGAAACTAGATGCGGGTTAACCAGAAATTGCATAGAAATTGGAGGGTTTTTGCTGTTGACAATGAAAGGGTAATCATCACTGTTGTTGGAGGAGGTTGTTGTTGCTATCATGGGGTTGAGATCATTGAGGAGGTTGTTGTTATCATCACTAGAGGAAGGAGGGAGTTAGATCGAAGAGGATGGTCAAAGATGTGGTTTGGTTGAAGATGATGGTTTGATGTTGCTGTCTTCCTTGTTAGTTAGCCATCACTTCCTTGCTGTTGCACCAGCTACAGGGGTCAATAGGGGTAGAAAATGACGAGGTTGCCTGCTGTTGTGACGAGAAGCTGTGGCATGAAGGGCTGGGTGAGAGGGCAAACATGAGCTAATGAACATGGAATTTGAATTCTTTGGGTTGGAGGTTGGAGCCTAATTCCACCAATTTTGGAGGAAATGGAAATGGAAATCCATGAGATTTTATGCTACAACGTGGGCAATATTCAATATTCCAATTCCATTTCCAATTCTATTACCCCAATTCCACCATACCAAACATGCCCTAAGTGTATTTCTCATTTGAAAGGATGCTAAGACAAGAATTAAGTTTGAGACTTTTAAATTCTGAAGAAAATATTTGAACTTGTGCGTGCAGATGTTTGATGAGAAGTCATTGGTTTTTGAAGTCTGATATAAATAGGTTGTTTTGTATTACTTTGAGTTTCTTAGTCTTGAAACCTAAAAAAGTAATGTATTTTTCTTCATCTTTTCTGAGTTTGGGCCTTTTTCTTGAGCTTCTATTTAATGTGACTGGGACCAATAATATTTTGTTGGGTGATGTTTGCTATATATTATGACTTGTACTGATCTAAATGAAAATAGCTGTCCTCTTATTGTGTTCACTTTGCTTGATTAGAAAGATGCTTGCTTTCTTTTTTATAAGAAATTGTGATTATGTATGAGCTGATCTTTTTTCAAATTCCAACTTAGTTCATTCCATGTTATCTATATTCATCTGTGTTTATGGATTGAATATTAATAACTTATTTTAATTTAGATCCTCAATTCTTCTCTTAGGAAGCTGATTTAGTTCTAGGGGGTGATGATGGTAAGGAGTGTACCTATAACAATGGCTATATGAAAAGACAAGCAATTTTCTCTTGCCTCACATGCACCCCTGATGGGAACGCTGGAGTTTGCACTGCTTGCTCATTGGCTTGCCATGACGGCCATCAGGTAGTTCTTTTCTACTACAAGGGCATAAAATTGTGGTTTTCATTGCAACTGAACTGACCAAAGAGATGATACAATGAGATGGAAGACTAATATCACATTATACTATTTGTACTGAACCCAAAGGATGGAGGGATTTCCTAAACAAATCTCAACTATCATGCATTGCTCTTAAGATATAAATTTGACATCATTTTTTTGAAATAATTTTCTATTATCTCCTGTATACCATTGATTTTACTTGTTCAATGCAACATTGAATAATTTGTGTTTTTCATTACTGCTTTTGAGCTAAGGTCGTGGAACTGTGGACAAAAAGAAGCTTCAGGTGTGATTGTGGAAATTCAAAGTTTGGGGAGTTCTATTGTAAGCTTTTTGCTAACAAGGATATTGAAAATGTTGAGAATGCGTACAATCACAACTTCAAAGGTTCATATTGCACATGTGGTCGGCCTTATCCTGATCCAGATGCTGAAGAACAAGAGGAGATGATACAGTGCTGCTTATGTGAGGACTGGTTTCATGAGGAGCATCTTGGCCTAGAGTCTTCTGATGAGGTTGGTATCTTGGAGCATGGTCTCTGTTCCTCTCTTAACTGTTTTATATCTTGTTCTTTTGAGTTAGTTTTGACATGGCCTTTCAATGTAGTTTGAATTTTAGGTCTTCTGTGTTAACTTCTCGGTTCTAGGGTTATTTTTAGTCCAAGTCCTTGATTGCAATCATATATAATTTATAGATTTCTGTAGATTCAACGTATGCTTTTTTTTTTTGGCCAACGATTCAACTTATGCTACTTAGAGCATAAAGTTAAAGATTTTTTTTGTAAGTTAAAGATTTTTTTTTTAAGTTAAAGATTTTTTTTTTTGGCTTTTTAATGCTGAATTTGCTGCCACATAGTGCAAAATTAGTGGGAACTATCATTCGTTGCATTCTCTTGTGGGCTATAACAAATTTTATTTGTGCTCTAGATGTTACACAGGAATCACTTAAAGGGGAGATAGACAATTGTTAGTTGTTCTGAGCTTATAAATAATTTAGTAAACTCAAAATATTCTGTTGTCTTTGTTACACGTGATTTACTCAGGGTCTTGCCTCTAATAGTCCCTCCTCCCTTTGAAAAAGTATTGACTTGGGCTGTTGGCTTTAATAATGTTGATGGTTGTTTAATTATTCCCTTTAGGTGTTTTTTTCCTCTTTTTTTTTTTTCACACAATTTTATGTGTTCTGTAATAAAATGCTTTGCCCGGCAAGCCTCTTTATATGGCTCTATGTGATACCTTACCTCTAATAATTTCCTCAAAGTTAATCTTTATGCCCCTCAAGATATTACTTTGTTCAAGTTTCTCATGCATCTTAAGATGTGTTTCCTATCATAATATTTATGGTCAGAACTAATATTTATTGTATATATTGTTTTATGAGAGAATATCAGGTAGATAATGAGGAGAATATTGGGTATTTATTTAGGTGATATCATGTGATATTCTAATCTGATTCATTCTCCATGATTCTCGGAGATATAATTGGATGCTCACTTGTATATATCTGTGTACTCTTTTTCGATTAATGTATGGAAATCTTCATTGCCAAATTGCTACAATTTCTATTTCAACCTAGTATTTGATTTGATATGTTCTTCAGTTCTCACTTGAAGCTAATATCAAGGTAGTAAAAGCATTACTGACTGCAAATTTTTCTATATCTCTAAATTCGTGTGCACTTGCTGCATAATATTGTTTTTTCGTAATTGCGGGTCAAATTTGTGGGAGCAGACGTTGCATTTGTTGTGAGGAGCAATCAGAAAGTTTTATATGATGGGTAGCTTATTTTGTTCTACAATCATAATAGCTATATATTTTGTTTTAAGTTGTTCTATATCTCCATGTAATCAACTTTGAAATGTCAAATAAGGACACCCCTGATGTTATCTTGTTTAATTATCTGTCGCTCTTGCTGTTTCTCAGATACCAAGAGATGATGAAGGAGAGCCTCTGTATGAGGACTTCATATGTAGAGCATGCTCTGTAGTATGTTCCTTTTTAAGATTGTATCCTGAAGCAATATGGGCTGCAGCAAAGCAGCCAGATGCTGATATCAAAGGTAGCAAAAAGCAGCCAGATGCTGATGTCAAAGGTTGCAAAAAGCAGCCAGATGCTGATATCAAAGGTAGCAAGGATAAAGGTGCGTCGGAAGATATGCCTTCCACTTGTAGATCTGAAAAGTCGATGAATAATATGTGCTCTCATAGTTCCCCTGAAATTGAGGATTCAAAATCTAAAGCTGATTCTGAAACTGTCTCTGGAGAGAAAGATCCGCTTCAGGGAGACAATTGTGCTAAAAATGCAGTTTTAAGTCCTTGCATGAAAAACACCAATCCCCATGCTAACTGTGTCCTTGGTGTCAACATTGTGGATGCTCCTCCAAGTAAAGATAGTAAACCAATGTTCCTTTCAAAAAATTGGAGAGATTCTTTTGCAAATGTGAAAAGTGTATGGAGTATTACAATCAGAAGAAGATTGCTTTTCTAGCAGACAAAGAAGACTCAATTGTTGAGTACGAGAAAATAGGAAAGCAAAAGAGGGAAGAAAAGTTGCAGGAGCAGGAGGGTGCTGAGTTGAGTTTTTTTAATGAACTTGGACACGTAGAGAAAGTTGAGATCTTGAAGGGCATCGAGGAAATGAAGGATGGGCTTCGTGCTTTCCTGGTACAATACTCTTGCCAAAATATTTTTATTATGTGCTTTTACCATTTGTTCAGAATGTCGGAGGTGAGGAACCCACTATGGCCTTGTTTCACCAATGCTATGCTGTTTGTTTACATTTCACAACAGGACTCTGCAGACTCGTCAAAGCCAATCACTGCTGATGATATTCACCAGTTTTTTGATGACATAAAGAACAAACGTCGTCGTGTATAGTGAGTCCTGGTGTGTTCTTTTTGTCTGTGCATCTTAAGACGTGCTGGTCAAAACATTCAGTCTAACACTTATTAGAGTTGGTTTGTATTAGCTATAGTTTACTAGGGCCGTGAGTTTTATGATATTTAAATTAGAGTATTCCTATTTGTATGATACACGTACTAAAAATAGACTGGCTTTACTTTCCTTGAAGTTAAATCAGGCTTAGCGTGTTCTGCTGATGCATTGCTGGAGTGAATATGTAGTTTTCCAATCCGGTACTAAACCTTGCATTAAATATGTAGTTATTCTTAAATCCTACGGGATTAAGGATTGTATGAGGCATTCCATCTTCAGAAATTCATGCGAATTACTTGGTTTATCAGTGATGTTTACACGGTATTCCTTTTGGTACTATATATTAGTAATTTTTTTTTTTAACAAATTGATGGCTTTCTATATTAGTAATCACTTGGCATAAAAAGGTGGTGTATTTATGAGCTTTCTCAACCATCTTTCTATATGAATATGTATATATATATATATATATATATGAGTAGAGTCGCAGACCTATGTTTAGTCAAGCCGCGCGTCCGGGTCTGTTATGTTTGATTTTTGTTTTGTTTATTTCATAAATAAATGAAACCATCTCCCCCTCCCCCCCAATTATATCTATCCATTATCACATTTTAATCGCAAGGTTAGGATTGGTGATGGCAAGTGTTTTTTATGATTTAATATTTATTTTAAAAATAAATAAAATTATCTCTTTAACATATCTCTTCATTATCCTAATTTAATTTCAAATTTATAATAATTAAAACAAATAATCTAACGAAAAAATAATAATCAAAATCAATTTTATTATATATAAATATATATATATATACATAGAATGGCAAACAACATGTTTATGCCACATTTCCTTCAAGTTCAGATTTTCTAATTTAACTTGTTCATAATTTTAAATTTTTAATTTAAAAATTATAAAACTATCCCACTCCCAATCCCCACTTTCCATTAAAATATTGCAATTCTAACCTTCATTTATTTTTAAAAATATTTAATTCAAATAATGACTACATATCTAAAACTAATAGCAACTGCCTCTTCTTAAGTATTATTTCTTTCTCATTTATTTATAATATTTTCTCTCATGATCTTTCTCAATATCACAACTTCTACATCATCCTTGATTTTTTTAAAAAATGTTTTATTGCATTATCTTCAAAAATTATAGAAACTACTTTCCGTTATCCTTGTATTTCTCTCATTATATTAACTCTTATTTTATTTTATCTCAGAATCACAAGCATCATCCACAACTTGACACATAAGCTAATTTCATAATGCTGCAATTCTAGCCTATCCATGTTAGCATTGATTAAAATGTATTTTTAATAAAATAATAAACATGATATCTCTAAAACAATGTTAAGATAACTTCTTTTTATCCCTTATTTTTCTCTCTTATTATCTTAACTCTTTCTTTTAATTTATTCCCAAATAATCTCTACCATGATCCCATCTACTGTTATATTGTTTTTTAAACTATTTTTTATATAAAAACAATATGCATGATGCCTAGAGTTGTCAATTAGGGCCGAGCCCATTGGGTCGATTGCTTTAAGCTCGAAAATAATTAGGGTTAGACCTCTACTTTGGAAGGAAAAATGGTAATTTGAGCTTGAAAGAGCTCGCCCTTTTAAGCCCGAAAATAAAAGGACTAGCCCTTTTAAGCCCTTTTATTTTTTAAAAAAATTATAATATAAAAAATAAAAAATTAAATATATAACTAAAAGAAGTGAATATATTAGACTCATTCGTCCCTCCTTCGTTCATTCATTAAGATTTAGCTAATAATATTAGTCAAGTCTAATTTTTATTGGTATTAATTTTGATGTTGCTATTTGATATTAGATCTGAATGTTTAAATTTTTATTTACTTATTGTTGTGTAAATTGATTTAAATTTATTTTCTTAAATTTAATTTTATGTATAATAACTTTTTTTAGAATTATAAATATATTTTTTTAGAATTTTAAATTGAAAAAAGTTTAAAAAAAGGGCTGAGACCTTGAGGGTCGGTCCTTCAGCCCTAAGGGTTAGGGCCGAGCCTCGTAAAAGAAAACCTTGAAGTATGATCGGATTTATTAGAGCTAGCCTGTTTAGGCCCTAGCTTTTCAAAAGTCGACCCTAATTGACAGCTCTAATGATGCCTTCGAGACTATCAAATGGCTTCCTCTTATCCATCATTTTCTCTCTCTTATTATCTTAATTCTTTTTTCAATTTATTCCTGGATTTTCTCTCCCATGTCCATCTTTAAGCAACTATCATCCCATAAGTTGTGGTTTTCGAACATTGAGAACATTGTCATTGAGCACTCCTCCACATTGTTGTTTTCCTTGGTGTGTATATCTAGCCTTGCCCTAATGCTTTTGGCTTTTCTTCTTCTTTGAAGTTGGGCTACACCAGCGTCACATCTTCTTTTATGAGTGCCAGTATTCATGTCTACAACTTTGAACAATTCAGTGTTTGAGTTCTCATTTTGGTTATCTTTGTGCGACAATGAGTTTCATGACTTCCTTTCTTGTTTTAGTTGTAGATTGTTGCTAAAAGAGGTTAAAAGAGGTTGAAGTTAGTTATTGGTTTGTCACCTGCTCCTCCCACAAGCAAAGTACCAGAAATTCTAGTAGTTAGTTACAGCTAATGGAAAATATGTTAGAAGCATTTGCAATAATTTTAGTTAACATTAGTTTTTCTTCCTTCCATTATTCAAATATGTAGGTGTATATAAAAGCTTGATTGAATAAATGTTCTATTTCTTTCATACAGGGGAAATTAGTCATTAATGATAAGAGGTTGCAAAATGTTGGTGGCAAAGCAAATGGAAAGATGATAAATAGAGGAATGTCCTTTAATGAACTAAACAGAACAATATGTTCATGCCTTGGGTGTGAATTAAAAATAATGGAATTGAAGTTTGATGCAACCATTGTTGTAGAGAAAGATGATGGAGTATGGTGAATAGTTGATTTTAATTAAAAAATGTGGATATGTGTATATATGTGAAGGTGTAAATGACTGTAGAGTTGAAGTAAAACCCATGTTAACTTCACAAGGGTTAGAATCTCTAGCATGCCTATTTGTATTATCTGTTATTGGATATTCTTCAACCAAGGGAACACAAGAGCTTCCATGTTTAATTGAAAATGCACTTGTTCCTTCCTAAGCATGAAGCAGCTAAGTAGAAAGACTTGCTTTTGGGCTTGAGGCAAACTTTCAAGAATGCAAGTATATTCAAGAAATCATTGTATAACATAGTTTGACACACAAGTTTGCATACAACTATGTGAAGAAATGCTCAAGTAAGATGATAGTGAAGTGCAACCTTAGTGGGTGTCTATGAAAGATTATTGCTTATGTAATGGGTGATCAAGATTCAAGATTCTTACATGTGCATACCTTTAACAATGAGCACATTCACTCAGCCTAGTACAATCTCCTAGTTTCTCATAAATTTACATTCACTTTGGCCTTATATATCATTATGGATGGTTTGAGGTGTTCATTGGACAAAGCACCAAATGATATAAGCTGTGACTTGTGCAGGAATTATTACCTTGCATTGTCTTGTGATCAAGCATGAAAAGGAAAAGAGAGAGCATTGACAAAAAGGCAAGGAGCACTTGACCAATCGTATATGTTGATTATATGGTTTTGCCAAAGAATATTGAAAGGAGACTCTACAAGTATGGCAAAATAGGGATCATCAATTGACCATAAATTCTAGAGGTTGTTTCTCTTATATGGGTGTTGTATAGAATGATTCTTTAAATGGTTGATGGCTTGTGTTGTTTATTGATGAATGTCACCTTAACAACCCTTATCGGGGAACTATGTTGTTTGCATATGCTCATGATGCTAACAATGAGCTTTTCCTATTGTAGTTGCCATTATGAGTGGGAAGAGCATTGAGGAATGGGCATGATTTATGAATAACATTAAAGAGGTTATAGGCAATATGCAAGTTATAATACTATCATATAGGCTTAATGCAATAATACATGCTGTGAGAGCTGCTTTTAAGGGTAAGAGGCACCCATATTGCTATATGCATGTCAAATATAGTATGTCAAGAGGAATTTTATGCAAAATATGGACAGGTTTTTTCAGGGCCAAACACAAAACTGCTATAAAGAAGGAGGATGCATTGAAAATGTTGGATGCAATTGTATATGCTAGACTTGATGGAGAGTTTGATAGAGCAATGGTCAATATGCATTCTTTTGATCCTTAGTTGGGAAAGTGGATTAAAGATCACAATGATATCAATTGTTGGGTATTGTTATGGTTTTTACTTAGGAGGTGGGATAATATAACCATAAATTTAGTTGAGTCATATAATGTATGGCTTTTGAAGGAAAGAAAACATCAAGTGATTACATTGATAAATGAGCATAGAGAGAATCTTACAAAGAACATATTTGCTAGCAAGGATGCAATCAAATTGTAGAGGAATGGAGTTGGACTTAATATAGAAGCTAAATTGAAAGAACATCTATTGCTTGTAAAGAGGTTAGTGATGGCATAACATTCAAACCATATGTTTCATATTGTAATAGGGGAAGTTCAATTGACCATCAATATTGCAACCAAGGAGTGCACTTGCAAGGTATAGAAAATATCTAGTATACCAAGCCCACATGCATGTGCAACAATCAAACATGTTAAAGGTAATGTTTACACATATATTGAAGAGTACTATAAATCTAGTGCATGATAGAAGATATATAATAGGACTATGATGCCAATAGATACTCATGATATGCCTAAGCTAAATGAATTGGAATGGATTGATTATGAGAATGAGACCTTCATTTGGCTACCAACCACAAGTCGTCATGCGAGTAGACTATGCATAACTAGAAAAGAGTTTCAATTTCAATATAAGAAAGTATACAAATGTTTAATGTGCCACTAAGAAGGGCATACTTGAATAAGGTGTATGTAGGAATCTTAATTTTGAATGACCATGCATTCTTCTTGTATATTGATTCACCTTTTGGTACTTGCTATACTCAATGGTTGATATTTTGATCTTTTGTTGCTATTATTATACATAGTTTAAGTTGATCCTTATCATAGGTTTTTTGGAGAATGGGGCATGCAATGTTCACTTTGACATTACCAATAATTTATCGATTAATACACAAGGTAATTATGAGTAATGTCCTCCTTGACATTACCAAACTATATCTACATATCACATATAAGAGCAGTTAAGAGTCCTTAAGTCCCTAAATTATCATAAATCAAAAATATCTAAAATTTTAAAAAATAATTCTTTTAAAATGGTTGCAATCCCAAAAACCATATGA